CATTACTTGTATCCAATCAGAATGGAAATATGTATACCCCTTCAGTCTATGGTTGCCTTGCCTCTCTTCTAGCTCAGTAAGTATAAAATTGGGAAAAGGTGTTTATGAATAAGGTCATAAGAAGTTTTTTCAGAAAGTCTTTCGTAAAAGCGTTATCTAGCAAACCTTTTCCTGTGAGATTGCCTTAAGCAGAAAAACTGAAGTTAAAACACAATTCTGCACATATATTCAGTTCAGGTGACACACAGATTGAAAATGCCTATGTCAGAAGCTGTTGCAAAACAGCTGCTTACTGCCTTGCAAAGTAGTATCTTATTTGTAAGGTAGTGTCTGTTCTCAGCTCCAACTTTCCCCCTCTTCCTTCCTCTAGAAACTTTCCTGAAGTGGAAAAAAATCTGAATGTCTTTTCTGTCTTACTATAATAAGTAAAGCCAAATTAAATAAGCAGTAAATTAATTTTTCTTTTCAAATACTGCCTTTTACAAAATCATATTAAATTTATATTAAACCACTTCTCCTGGGTTTTTTTCTTTGTTTTTTTTTTCTTTTTTCTTTATTTTTCTTTATTCTGATATTGTCTTCCAAGATGCCTTCATTTTTTTGGCTTTAGTTTGCTTAAGAGTGAAATCTGTCTGCCTTCATCGTATTTTGGGCATTTTTCATGTATGTTTTGCTCTAGGCAGCTTTCAAATTCATCACATAACAGCAGTGTTTGAATTTGGTTTTTTTTAAGGTCAGCATTTATGCACACAGTATGCTAAATGTGTATAGGGTTTTATAGACACTGTAATTTGCTGATTGCTTTTTCAAAGCTAGATGCAGTTTCTAGTTATTTAGAACTGGAACTTTGGCTTAGTTCTGACTTCAAAAAGCTGTTGTATGATTTGCAGGTACTCCCCAGAGCAGCTTGCGGGACAGAGAATCAGCGTGTTCTCATATGGCTCTGGTTTTGCTGCTACCCTGTATTCCATCAAGGTCACACAGGATGCCACTCCTGGTGAGTGACTGGAGGTGATGTCATCTGCCCCCCTTGCTCAGCTCGCTCTTCATGCCTTGTTGCACAACCTACTAGCATAAGGAAACCTGCAGGGCAGTTCCTTAATGACAGCAGTGCCACACTGAGAATGTCCAGCTCCAGGGAGTGTTTAAGTGTCTCCTTGAACAAATAAATAATAGTCTTCAAACTCTGTTAAACATTTTGAGTTGGTAATTGGGAATATTCTAAATGATTTATACTTCAGATTCTATAATGCAAAGTACTTTGAATGTTCACATACTAGCGTGCAGTTCTCGATACTGACTCTACCTTACATGATGGTTCTATATTGCAGGTTCTGCACTGGACAAAATAACTGCTAGCCTTTCTGATCTTAAAACAAGACTTGACTCAAGAAAATGTATTGCACCTGATGTCTTTGCTGAAAACATGAAGCTCAGACAGGAAACACATCATTTGGGTAAGAACCTAATAAATGTCAATAATTCCTAGTCTTTGAGCAAAATGCTTATCACTTAATCCGCCAGACTTTAAATGATGAGGGTGTAGAACGAAGGAAATGTCCAACCCTTTCTGCTTCTAAGTAGCTTGTGTTCATTTCGCCCAACATGTCTGAAGCAAAAATGGTGGATTATTTTTTTTCTGTCTCAGTGCATCCAATCTGCAAAGGCCTATGTTGGGTAAAACTCTTACCAGGAAACAACTAAGAATGTGTTATTCCCTTTCTTACAGCCAATTATATTCCACAGTGTTCAGTGGAGGATCTCTTTGAAGGAACATGGTATCTTGTGCGTGTGGATGAAAAACACAGGAGGACTTATGCCCGGCGCCCACTCATGAGTGATGGACCTCTGGAAGCAAGAGTTGGAGTTGTCCACCCAGGCGTTGTTCATGAGGTGAACACTCGGCACTCTTTTAAAATTTGATGTAAATGGTGGAACCATTTACATATTTGTCTTAGCATGTGCATGTATGTTAAGAGGAAGTGGTTTTACAAGTTGCATTGAATACTTTGTTAACACGTGTAACATACAAGCCAGAAGTAAAAAGTTGAAACGGCAATTTTAAAAAGTACATTTCATCATAAAAAGAACTAAACTGCACAAGAATGAAAGAGGAACAAACTGGCTCTTCTCACACAATCTGTTTGCATGAAGCATGACCAATTTGATTGACTTAAGGCCAAGCCATCCATTGTAGCATGAATGTTGTTTGAGAGTTGGACTAGCCATGAACTATGAATGTCTGTGAACTAGAAAACTGTATTTAATGTTTTTTTTCCCTTCTTCTTAGCACATCCCAAGCCCTGCTAAGAAAGTGCCAAGAATCCCTGCAACAACAGAATCTGAAGGCGTTACTGTCGCCATTTCCAATGGGGAGCATTAAGATACCTCTGTGAGGTGGGGAAAGAAACAAGGTGTGAGGGCAGGGTGAGAGAGAGAGAAAAAGGATTGCAGTACCACTGAAGTTTCAGTGTACACTAGTACTTAATTGGAGCATGAAAAAACTGTTTAGGCTCCTTGAAAAAAAATCATCATAATATGGTGTGCTGATTTTGTAGTATTTTCAGAACACTAAAATCAGGAGTATATTGGAGATAGAAGGGCTTGCCAGGTGCTGTGGGGATTCCTTAAAATGTCTGAACTTTAATTGCTGAGAAGCAGCTGTAGTCTGTTACAAAATCTCCATACACAGAAAGGAAAAAAAAAGGAATCTTCTGCCTGCTCTTCCATGTAAAATGACTTGAAACTTACACTGTTAACTTCTACTAGTATTCAAGTGTGTGCAAAACAGTCCAAGCTTTTAATGTTAGGGTTCTCAGTGCCTTGACAATAAGCAGTCAACCTTCTGAATACTGCAATTCTCTTTCACTTTATCACCTTCCCTTTCATCTCCCAGTCTGCTTCCCTCACCCCATTACTTTGGGACAGGCACAGAACTAAGAACATCCATTGCTGGAATAGAGCCTCTCTTCCCTGTCAAAGTGACTGGATCAAGAACAGCTAGGCTGACAAGTGGTTTTCTTAGAAGAAATTCTGTGATCCACTGTGTTAGTTACTATGTAATTCCTCCTAATAGCTTTTGTGATTTATACCTGCCATTTAAGTCACAGGAGACTGACAGGAAAGACAATGAAGAAGGGAGGTAGTAAATTTTTTATTCTAAAGAAAGGGGATCATTCATTTGACACAATAATAGATGGTTTAATAGAATATCCAAGATAGCAGAATTATCAAATAAAATTTAGAGCTATTGTGGAGCTGTTTTAATTGGCAAACGAAGAGAGTGACTTTGTCTGGAATGCTAGTCTGTTGGTTGTCTTTTATATAATACATTTCCAAAAGACTTTCTAGCTTTGAATCTGGCTTTGTACTTTGAAGTCCTTCTCACTATTGGTAATACTGTAGGAGTGGAGTCTTTTATTTCTTTCCCGCCTTCCCTAAGTGTGTGAGCTAAAGCTATCCATTTTGCAAGCAGTAGATAGATTTACAGTGGTTATGGGGAGTCCATTCTGGTAGATTTTTAAAGCCCAGATTGGAAATGAACTATGATATGAGCCTTTTAAGCTTGTAATATATATATATATACATACATACATATATATGTATATATATATTTAAGTTGAACTAATGTACAGAATGAAGTTTCAATGAATTTATTTCTTTGCTAATTCTACAAAGCTACATTATCTAATATAAAGTAGCAAAAAATTATTTCTGTTAATTACATTTTTTGTGTGTGTGTGTAATGAAGTATTTGTATTACCTGTCACTCACTAGGATTTGATAACTTGCTGTATTTGTACAGTCAAGCCTTGGTAAAATAGTTGTTTATTATAAATTGATGAATACTAATCTGTTTGTTCTGCTGAAAATGATGGAGCAATGCATGATGATAGTGTTTTTGCAAGTATTTTGGTTTAGGTTGCCCTCATGAAACTTAATCTTAGCACCTGTAAAACAAACTGTCATGGAACAAAGTCCATTGCTGGCAGTGGACAAGCCAAGAAGTGAGCTACTGGCACAGGCCTCACATGTCTGTGAGGCTGATCCTTTATTAAAATAAAGTTTGAGATATTTGAAATCTGTTGGAGTAGTGCTGACTTGGTTTTTTAGGATGGATTTATTTTTCTTTAACAGGAAAGAGGAAGCTGGCTCTGGTAAAAACCCAGAGTTGTGGGGTCACAAGCTGTGTAGACATTATGCATCTTTCTGCTTAATAATTCCATTAAAAAAGTGGAAAAAAAGAGTTGCTTAGGCTGGTGTAGAACAGTTTTATCAGGGCTGCGTTTCAAGACAACTTAAAATTCTTTTATATGGAAACTGTTTATAGTGGAGGAATTGATGCCCACTTTATGAAATGGAATTAATTACCGTTTTATAAAAATTCGTATTGTTTAATTACCCTCAGGAATTCTGTGAAGGAGGCTTGGTTCTTGCTTTGTACACACTTGAGCCTCACTGAGTCCAACTTCCGATACACGTCTTTTCAGAGTCCATTCCACTGTTCATTTATATTAATTACTCCCTCTAAAGTGAAATTACTGTCTCATTGGGGTCATAACAGATAAGGCATCCTGCCTTTAAATGCAAGAGCACCAGCTGTACCTGTGTACATCCTGTGTTGGGTATCTTTCCTCACAGGTTCTACCTCTCAGCTCAGGCATGTCAGCTGTCCCTGTTAAGAGAACAGCTGCCACACTTGTCCTTTGCATTGGAGTTGATGCCATTCAAGATCTAAGCATAGAATAAGCGACTAAAGCTGAAAATCAGAGCATCTGCATTTTGGTGATGCTCAGAACAACTGGAGCTGTCAGACTATCCAGCTTTTAACTTGCAGTGATCAAGAGTCGCAATCAGCTTTGTGCAAGCTTTGGTTGCCAAAGCAGGATGGCAGGAGTGAGGACAAGCCTGTAATGCTCAGTGAATATAAGCAGATTTTGCTGCTCTTGCATTCAGCTGCTGCTAACAAGGGCTAAGGCAACAACTTAACACAACATGGGTTTTGGAGTATGCTTAAATCTTTCTTTATTGGAATGAAGCTGGAGTCCAAGCAATTCCAGAGTGGCGGAATCATGCAAGCAGTGGAAGGCATCACAAGGGTAATTGATGGTAGCCCAACCAGTCAGACAGCCACACATACAGGGTTAAAGTACTGAATCCTGATTTGTCTTCTGGAATCATGACAAGTTGGGAACTGCAGCCAACAACAGCTTTGATGTTTCTCGAAAGAAAATAAAATGCTTTTTAAAAATTAACTTGTTAAAATAGATGAGGAAGTTCAAAAGAATTTGCAATTGTTTAGATTATAGTCTGGTCTCAACTTTAGTTCTTTGCAAAAACTGTCTCGATTTTCAGTAATGAAGTTGTGTTGGGCTTACGTACATATTTCAGAAGTTAGCTGTTATAAGCCTGTGCAGAGAATCTCCCAAAGAGGTTAAGTACAGTAGCATGGCATTTATTAAAAGATCCCCTCTACTCATGATCTTTGCAGTTACTGGGTTCTTGCTCTGGCTATACCAAGTATATGGAGAAATGGTCAAACGAATGCACAAGAACTCTAGTTTTGAGTGCTTCACTGCTAATTGAGCAATGCAAAGAAATGAGGCATTTTTGGTTTATTCAAAAGTTACAAAAAAATGTTAACACTACAGCTTAAGGATAAGTGAATAATCCCCTTTGTCAAATGTGCTGAGCATAAAGCCTGCAGTGCAGTTTTATAAAATAGAACACAGCTTGGATGTGTGCTTAATGCCACTGTAAGAAGTGATTCTGTTTCTCGAGTTGTCTTCTTTTGGATCTGGCTGGGACATGATAGGAACACATTCAAGTGCCCTTTTCTTCTGTACTCTGTGCAACACGATTCTGTAGACCCCTGTTATGGAGCTGCGTGCATCTCTTCCCCGGTTGTTCTGAATGTGCTGTTCTGTGATTCCCAGATCTTCCAGAATATTTTTCACTTCAATTTCTTCTTCTTTTAGTGTACTGATATCTGATAAATATTTTGGATCCAGTTTAAATGTCTGTAAAGGTTTGGGGAACTGTATTCCTTGCATCCATTCACTGTTCATTATCAGTTTGACAGAGTATCGCTTGGTTGGTACTGGCTGAAGGACTCCTTTTATCAGTTTCTGGCAATTTTCTGAGAGGCAGGGAGGCAAAGTGTATGTCCCTTCAAGAATGCACTTTTTCAGCTTGCCTACTGTATCTGCCCGGAATGGCATGCTACCTGTCATCATGAAGTATAAGAGGATTCCCAGTGCCCAGATGTCTACATAGATGCCAATATAATTTTCATCTCGGAAGAGTTCAGGAGCAGCATAAGGAGGAGAGCCACAGAAAGTTTTTAAAGTTTCATCTCTTTTACTTAATGTACTGAATCCAAAGTCTCCCACCTTAACACAGGTGTTACTGGCATAGAACACGTTTTCTGCTTTCAGGTCCCGGTGAATGATATTATTGTCATGCTGTGGAAGAAGAGGAAAAGTTGGTATTGGTTTGTTCCCAGGAAAGTTCTCAATGGCTACCTCTAATTGGTTAATTACCCTGAAGGAGAAAGGGAGTTATCTTGAGCAAATTCAGAAACTAGTATTGCAATTGGAAAAATTATTAAACAATTCTAACTTCGTTCTCCAAGGATACAAAAACAATTGAGATGGGGGAGAAGAAGGGTGCTGGGATTTTTTTAAGCACAGCACTCTCAACTTGTTAACTAATGGCAACTATTCTCATTTAGCAAATGCGTGAGGACAGCATGACTAATCCTACAAGACTAGACACCTCTCATGTGCAAAATTTTTTATTTTTTTAGGGTTCACAGCAATTGTTTTTGTAGTTACTACATGTACCTTACAGATTTCAACATTTAGTTAACCCAACTGAACATTATCAGAGATAAAGTAAGAAATTTGCTATCATTATATTCTGTGATCTAATGTCCTATGAGGAACTGGTGGGGGCAGGAGAAAAGGACCACAGACTTGGGCTTCACAGTACTTCATGTTGCAGGACAACCAAGTTTAATGGTGTTCTAGTTTTAGAAATTTGTAATACATACACCTTAATTTCTACTATTTTCCGTTGGTAATAGTAGTTATGAACTCAAACTGAATTTGCTCTGCTTAGTCATGACATACCTGTCTTGATTAAGAGTTTAGCTTTATCTTTGGAATAACTAGAAGGAATGGATAAACACTCTCCACCTTATCCTTTGGAGTAACATCATAACAGTGTCTGGAGGAAATAAAGAAACCCTTTAGCATCCAATTTCAACTTTTATCAGTAACTGCCAGGGATCCTCTGTCCTTGTGGGATGGCAGCAGGGAGGTAGGATTTGTGTGGCCTGGATGCGATGACTTAGCAAAAGTGAAATGAGCAGAAGTCTCTGTGTACAAATGAAGAGGTTGGCCAGCCTGATAGTCTATGTATAATTCTAAGAAATAGATGTAGTGTAATTTTGAAATGTAAATTCAGTTTGTGTAGCTGCAGGGTGCCTGTCCTATGGATTAAATGTTGAAGCTAATCCACCACTTAAAGCACATACGATCATTTCGTCAAAATACATAAGAAATGCATGCTGTTTATGTAAGCCACGAGTAGTGTGTGATGCAGTCTCCAGACGTCTGACATGGGATCACCCTTGTTTCTGACTTCAGCGGAAGCTGTTGGCAAGGATGACAGGAGACGCCGGAGAGGGCACCCTGAGCCAGTTTTAACGAATGCTGCTTCTCAGACTTGTAAAACAGTTCTCTGTGGATGGTTTTTTAATGTTTTGGTTTTGTTTGTTTGTTTGTTTGTTTGTTTGTTTGTTTGTTTGTTTTAAGTAGTTGTAATCACTCTGCAAAGTTTTAGAGATGCACCGAAGTAATTAATTGCTCATTTTCTGCCTTGACAAGATGCTTTTGGCTCTACACAATAGCATCATCCTAAGTGTATGTACTGAGGACGAGGCAAGAAGCGGCTTCTTGCGTTTTAACCTCACAGATTTGCATCGAAGTGAGGACCAGGAATTGACTGTCTTTAAGTGACAGATTCACACATTCATTAATAAGCAAGCCGGATGTTTGCAACATCTAACCAGCCTCTCTGAAAGCGAAAGAGTGACTGATCCTATGTTTTGAAAGAGGGAGGGAAGAAAGGAAGCTTTGTTCACTGGTGCCCACAGCACATTAAAGCAAACAGAACACTAGTGCTAGAAGAGTGATTCTACCTATCAGGTGTTTCCAGTCTCCTCCCAAAAGCTGTCAACAGAGAGGCAGTAACGTGAGGTGGACGTGAAAACCCTCACATGCCAGAAATGTGCGCCTGAAATTTTGGGTAGTAGTACATCTACTGTTGAAATTCAAAAGAAATATCCACAAAATGAGCTCAGAATAGTGAGAGGCAGCATGCCTGTGTAAGAGCAACTTACCATGTGCTTCACAGCAGACACAATCTGGGAGAAGATTATTTTACACTCTGTTTCTAGCAGCTTTCCTTCTGTACTGATTTTAGTGAAGAGTTCCCCACCTCCTGCATACTCCATCACCAGGTGCAGTTTTGAGAGCGTCTCCACCACTTCATACAGCCTGATGATATTTGGGTGGTGCAGCTTTTCCATGCTGGATATCTCACGAGACAGCAAACGTTGAGTCTTTCTGTCTAGCTTTGTCTTGTCCAAAATCTTAATTGCAACTTTCTCTGAGAAAAAAAACATTTTTTCCATGTTGTTAATGCAAGGGGTACAAATGGTAATACCATTTACATACAACGATGCTTGGTGGTAGAAATGCAATAAAATTTCACGTCATCAGTATAAACTAAGCTGCAGGGGCCTACTAAACCCTGCAATCTTTCACACAACCCCTGCCCCTTCCTGTCTAGGACTTGGTACTCGGTGCTGGGGTAACTGAAGGCTGGTAGAATATTCCAAGGGCTGATCAAATAATCTGCTGCCTTGGTGTGCTTTGCTGTGACAGGCTTATACATGTTTGAAGACACAGCATCTGCTTTTGGTGTTCACTGCTGGTAGAGAAAGTCTGTGCTTTTGTTGTTACCTCAGAGCTCCTCAGATGAGCCAGGTACTTGGAGACTTATGGAGGTGTGAAACGTGTGTGCTTTGTTTCCGACCAGACAGACAAATTTGTAAGGAATTTAGAGGCTTTGGCTATTTTATTCTGAGCAGTGAAGTTGAGTAAGTTGCAGGGATCCTATAAAACAGCAAATCTAGCTGTCATATACTGTTCTGGTAATGCAAAGCTGCTGTTAAGTCCTACATGTTCCTGGAATCCAAATAGTGAAGCCAAAGGCCACAAAGTACAAATATATATATCTGCAGCTGCACCACATCATCAGGGTAGCTCAGAGCAATATGAATAGGTAAATCACAGTTGCCCTTATGTTCCTGTTTTAGTCTGTAGGTTACAGCTTTTGTCTTTACTCTTCTGAACACAGCTGGTATTTGAAGGATTAGTCTGGTTAACACAGGTTTACAGTGGCTTTGTATAACTTGTTAGGACGGCAAAATTAAAATGGATCACAGCAATAAAAACAACTATTTATTCCTGTTTTGTTTCTTTTTTTCTCAAGACTATCTTAGTCAAACAATCACAGATTTCTTTAAAATTAATCACTTTTAATAAATCTTTGAGGAAAAAAATTTCATCTTTCTTTCTAGTAAATGGGAATAAATTAGGAAAAGCTATTGTTCTCTTATTGCTGTAAGAAAAGAGAGAGAAGGCTGTTATATTTCTATAGATGTTCAGGTATAAAAGCATGCATGTTTTTACTGAATATTACCAAGTCTTAACTGAAGTTTAGTATTTCAACATATATAATGGAATGTTAAGAATACTTATGCATGTGTCTGTACAGATCAAGAAAACTCCATGTTTAGTATATTTACATTTTTTAGTGTGATATATATATCAACTGATCTCTCTACTGAAGTGCAGAAGATGCTTGAAGCACATGTGATTCTTGTGGTGGAAGGTGCTGAATTATCCCTTGACGTCCCTGTTTTCAGGAGTCTGTGCTGAGCACAGGGCAGTTATCCTGGTCACGCTGCTTCTCTCGGACCTGAGGGAGAGCCCCTCAGGGAAGCAGGTATCTCCTGTGTGGTGTGGAACTGGGTGAACCAGGAGGAAATGCAGCTACTGACAGTGACTGCTGACATAGTGAAAGACCTTTGTCATGTTCATAGCACACTGATCTCCTAAACTAAGAGGAAAGAGCAACAACTTGCAGTAGGTTATATTTGCACAACTAAATGCTTACAACTCTTACAATTTTAACCATGCAAGTTGGGGACATTTGGGCTTTAAAATAAAATATTCTAGGTTAATTTTTCCCCTTCTATTTTGTTCTACTTCTCCTCTTGGTAAGTTTTCCTGCTAAGTTTTAAAAGGAAAGAAGAGGGGGGAAAAAAGGTTTTGAACTGAAGAGCCTGATCCTACTCAAACACCACCATAAATCAGGACCAAGCTCCTTTAAATCTACATCATTGCAGTTGCAAAAGCATTCCATGCAAAGAAACCTGACACCTTCCTTTTCCTGTCTAAACTCTTCCTTTCTGCTTCCAAACAATGCTTGGTTTACAAATCCTCTATTACTCTTGCTTAGCAGCTGTGCTGAACTTGACATTTTTATCAGGAAGCTTATTTACAAAAATACTTACAAAAAGAGTTCAAAGAGATTTTGATTGACTAGATGCAGTGTATGAGGTTTGAAAACTGCTAGGTGAAATCTTAGTAATACAAACTAGGAAAAGCTTGGAAATAGTTTCAGGAAGAAATGGTGTATGCTGTGATGGCAGAAGGACAAAATATACAAACAAAAGTTTAAATTAATTAAAAATAAAAGAAAGCTCGGTGCCTAAACATTCCTGCTTTTAAAATTGGTGTCACATTAGACAGATTTCTTATTAGCTATAAATTTTGAATGCTCTTAATTGCTTCTATTCAGCTGTGCTCTCACACTTCCTTTGTCAGATAGAACACATGTAAAATAAAAGTTATACAGGGCTTAGGAACTTAACAGTCCTTAGCAAGAAAACTCCATTAATTTCTGGAGAAAATCTCTGCCAAAATTCAGGTTAATATAGTGGGCAAAGTCCCTGAATAACACAACACACATAGAAGCATAAATCAGAAAAGACCTCTCAAAGGAACATCTACATATCTTTTAAGTATCTCCAAGGATGATGACTTTATCAGTCACTGTGAAGACCATTCCAAGGCCTGACCACTCCTGTGGTATAGAAATTTTTTTCCTAATGTCCAATGTAAACATCAACCTTCCCTGGCACAATCTGAGGCCATTTCTTCTTACTCTGTCCCTTGCTACCTGGGAGAAGAGGCCAACCCCCACCTGGATACACCCCCTGACAGGCAGTTGTAGGGAGTGAAAAGGTCTCCCCTGAGCCTCCTTTCCTGCAAACTAAACACCCCCAGTTCCCTCAGCTGCTCCTCAAAAGACTTGTGCTCCCCACCCCAATTCTGTTGACCTTCTCTGGACCCTCCAGCACCTCAAAGTCTCTCTTGTAGTGAAGAGTCCAAAACAAATGAAACACAGGATTTGAGGCATGGTCTCAAATGCCCATGGTCTCAGTGCCCAGCACAGGGGGACAATCCCTGCCCTGGTCCTGCTGCCACACCATTGCTGATCCAGGCCAGGATGCCATTGGCCTTCTTGGCCACCTGGGCACACCCTGGCTCATGTTCAGCTGCTGTCACCAGCATCCCCAGGTCCTTTCCAGCCACTCTGCCCCAGCCTGTGGCGCTGCCTGGGGCTGTTGTGACCCAAGGGCAGGACCTGGCACTTGGCCTTGTTGAACCTCACAGCACTGGCCTCAGCCCATCGATGCAGCCTGTCCAGATCCTCTGCAGAGCCTTCCTGCCCTCCAGCAGATCAACACTCCCACCCAATGTGTTGTCACCTGCAAATTGAGTAACATTAATCAGGGCTAGGCCCAATACTGAGCCCTGCAGAACTCCACTAGTGTCTATCCATATGGATACAACTGCATTCAGGATCATTCCCTGCGTCCAGATAGCCAGACAGCCTTTTATCCAGTGAAGAGTGCACCTGTCTAAGCCATGCAATATGGCATCTACATCATATCACTGAAGATTTTTCTGTGTTTTCTAAACAACCAAGACAGCTCTTGTGAAGGAAAAAAAGTTCATAATCCAGTATGATCCAAGTTTTTTCCTCTCTCTCTCCCTCTCTCTCTCTCTCTAGAAATCATGTGTTCTGCATCAACAGATCACAAGGGCAACAAAAAAGCTCATCTTAGTAAAAAACAGAATTGTTTCCTCTTTTGATACAGGATGATACAGGAGGGAGACCATACTAAAACTGGCAGTAACTGAAGAGCTGAACAGCCCTCTGATATATATACCACCCTCTTCCACAGAGACCAGACCAGCCTTAATGATGAAGCCTTTTTTTATATTAATCAGATTTAAAAAAAGACTTGCACCAATTAACACTGTGCAGGAACATTACTTCATTGCCAACACAACTGTATCTACCACAAAAAATTGAATTATCTTTGGTGGTGGTGAGTGTGTATATATGTATATATGTATGTATGCCTATGTGCAACTTCCTGTTCTTCTGTCCACACCCATGGATTTTATTAGCACAGATAAACTCACAGGCAGAATGAGTCAGAAAATATTTATCTTTCATTTTTCTTTCCTCATGACAGTTACAAACTTTGCAACAATAAATCAACTCCCTTTTCAGTGAACATTTTAACCAAAAAAGTTACAAACAAACAAAATAAAAATAATTTGAGAGATTTCTGTTGAAAAATAACCTTTTCCAGAAAAAGAAAAAGTGCAGTTTTGGTTTTGATATTTAGTTTGTCTGAGATTACTGTATTCACTGAAGTTCAAAAATTTTCAATCAGTTCTATTCAGATACTAAAGCAACCTGTTTCCTAAGTAAGTTCAGCAAAGGGTTCATCCAGATCAAATTTTTAACCACCTTTCATTAGCATTCTTTGTGTTCTCAGTACAGGAGCAGCATTCCCTCTAGCAGTAAGCACAAAACAGTTACCTCAGGAAGAAAATGAAATATCACAGAAGAGGAAACAACTTTTGGGCCAAGTAGAACAGAGGTGCTTTTCTGAAATAAGCATAACCAAAAACTCAACACCCAGCTAAAGCAATCCTTGAGTGTTGGCAGGCTTAAATGTGAAAAATTAAGTGTCATTGGTTCTCCACTTATATTCTCAGTGGAACAACCATACACCCAAAGGATAACTGTGAGCTTTCATGCCCCTTAAATCTCAGCTGAAAGAGGTGATTAAAGAAAATAAAAATAGATAACACAGTTTTGAGGTATATCTTGTTCTCTCACCTGTAAGACAATGAAGGGAAGGAGAATCAATCAAACTGAAAAGTAAAAAATCTTAGAAGAAAAGCAAGATAGTAGTGTACAAAGATACAGAGAAAACTAGTCACCCTGATGGAAAACAGCAACAATTTCTGTTATTGTCAGACAAAGGCAGAAGAAGAAACAGGACAGCTGATGACAAGTTATACTTATGACTGAAGTGTCCACTGCAGTTACCTAGCCCTTCAAGTCCTTTCTAGAAGCAGTAGATAGGGTGCTTCATATAATTAAAACAAGAAAAATAACTGACAATTCAACACAAACACTGATTTGGCAATACCAGAGCTTGTTCCCCTGCTCCCATTCCCTCCACACCTATAGCCCCATCCTATCTTTTTACAGTAAAGAACCACCAGCAAATTAGTTAAGTGGGCATAGCATTTCTCACCAAAATTACCATGACCAAAAAAATTTTTTGGCCATACTAGTGAAATTTGTGATGAAACAAAGGAAGCCTTGCTACCTCTGGCTGCAGGCAGGAGCATGCCTAACCTGCTCTCCTGGGCATTCATCACCTGTATCCCTGCAAGCCAGGAGCTGGGGCAGGGAAGAGGAGACTGGATGGACAGGGCAGGTTATAGGAGGGGAGGCCCATTACCATACTTCAAAGTGTGGAGTGTCTGAGCCACAGGATGTGTTAACTTCATGAAGTGATGAAGTAATAAATTCCACCTGTAATAGTTGCCAGGTAGAGAAATTGTTTCTAGTTTCTTTAAAGCCTAATTCAACCCTAAGCATTTATGTGTGTAACCCGATCTACAGATTAACTCAAAAACATTAAAATACAAACACACACACACACACACACACACACACACACACACACACACACACAGTCCCCCTCTCTCTCTCTATGTGTATTTAAGGTTCATACAGCATCTTTTTTCCTAAAAGAGGCCATAGGTCACTCAGCATGCAATAGTGCTTACCTTTGGTTAGGGAATGAATTCCAAGCTTCACTTGTGAGAAATTCCCACTTCCTATTTCTCCTCTGACTCGATAGAAGGCAATTCTCTTTCCCAGTGTTAATTCTTTCACCACTTTTTCATTATGAGACATATCCTGCATTAGTTTCTCAAATGGGGTCAGCCTGTGCTGGTTGCCCTCTTCATCTCCTTCATGGCACTCTGGGCGCCCATCATCTTCTCCGCTGTCCTCATGATGCCACCTGGAACAGTGGTATTTTCCAAGATTTCCTTCATTCACATATCCTGTTGTCATAGTCTATAATCACTTCCCCATTTAACAAGATGTCCTGATAAGTTTAAATTAAGTAATTCTGTATGAATATGCAATCCTGCACATTATGGACACTGTGACAAATGCAGCAAAAGAAAAAAAAAATAGCAGCTTAAAGAAAGTCCAAAGACTAGTTTGAAAATTAATTCAAAAACAAATCTGGCACATCTATATATTGCATGTCCTGTTCAGAGACAAAACATCCATTCCTAACTAATAGACTTAGTGTGTCAGGATCTTCAGCTGCAAGGTAAAAGAGGCTTTCCAATTAAAACTGCAAACTTCGTGCACATAAGTGGCAAGGTGCTCACTCTCTGTGCAGTACATTTGACACATGCAAAATATTTGACACAAATATTCAGATTTTAGTTTGAGCCTTTAAAAACTAACTTGATAGATAAAGGTCAAACAGAAAGATGATTAACTGCTCTGAATAAATCCAAATACTTATAGCTAATTTTGAATAGCTGACCTTAAGAGCGTAGTTCTCCTTGATTCTGGTGAATGTCCAAAAGCTGACTGTAGGGATTGCCTTTGATTCATTCTTCAGCCTGTGAGCTTGTCACTGTACCTTGGAAATGTCACTGTGTGTGGAAGCCTTGCTGTGAAAAGTACGCTGCCCCTCTGTTTCTTTCCCATGATGTGTTCAACAAAGCAACTGATTCTGCAAGATGACAGGAAAAGCATAAACTGTGCACTAGGCAAAAGAAATGCTACGCCTCAGTATCCCTGCAGTCACATGGCAGGACAATACAGGATTAAGTAACTGCAATGTCACGTTAACCCTCCTTTATTTAGATGAGCTTTCTTTAACGCCTTGAGCCTTCTCAAAATTTTGCCAGACGCGTGGTGTTCCTGAGCAGACAGATGAAGAAAGTAATTAAAACCTTTACATAACAGCCATACGCTTCACTGAATGACAGCATGACCCATACCATTTCACCAGTTTAAGTGGCAGCAGACATAGAAGTACTTACCCTAAATACACAAGCAACCACTTACGTTTAAAGCAGCACACTATTTTTTTTTCCTCTTTACTGTTCTTTCTTAACCTTGAAAGCCAGGAGTTGATCAGCAAGTGCTCATCATGCAGCTGCACGCCTGAGGGTGGTGAGCTGGGTACGAGAGCTGAGACAGTGCAGGCAGTGGCAGCGCTCACCTCCCCTGCTCCCAGCCTGCAGCACATACGACTGATGGACACAGGAGACACCTGACTGCCAGGACAGATGCACCAGATTGAGGGGGAGTGAATCAGACCAGTAACTCACTGCCTGAAGCTTAGGTCGACAGTCACCTAAGGTGCTACACTAGCAGAGGGCATGTGACATTTGCCAGGTGGAGCTGCCCTCTAAACCCCACAATCTCCTTCGTGAGCAAGAGGAAGAGAGGTCAGAGGCATGACCTAAGCCCAAAGCAAAGTGATGGTTTCATTAAATGGGAACTGGAGTGGCACAGAAGCACTCATCTGCTCCTTCAAAGAGGCCAAGACTGACCCATGTTTTGGGACACTGCTCCCTGCCTTGAGACCCATTGAAGAAATCTTAAAAGTCACTTTACCTCTCTGTGCTGCAGCCACATTGTGGTTACACAAACTTGTCCCAGGGTGAGGCAGAAAGTCTGACTTTCCCTCAGAGTCTGTGACTCTGTCACTTCTCTGAATCAGGGACACTTATTACTGTGTGTGCTGCAAACTTAATGGCTGATGCAGTTTGTAACTGGAACAGAGAGAGAATTTACTATGTTCATAATACCTTTGTTAACTCTTTTTGGCTTACTCATGTTTGAAGAAAATAGCCCTTTTCATTGTTGACAGAAACTAAAAATAATAAATACATCATTGTTGACAGAAATTAAAAATAATAAATACATCATTGTATTATTCTCTGGAGATAAATAGAGTGGAACCCCTGACAAATACTGTATGTGTACATACAGCTAATGGCCAAATCCTGGATATGGTTATTAGGGAAGAGACCAAGTGAAAAATGAGAAAACACTTCAGTGTTCTCCCACCAGGCCACTCCTTCTTAGAACTAAGTGTACCCCCTATTTTATTATTTTATACCTCAAAAGAAAACATCTATGTGGAAGGATACCCCATCCCCATGCAAACTGAAAATCCCAAACCCCACACCTTACACTCTGTTTTCCTCCATTTAAGAAAAGGACAATTTCTTTCAGGAGTGTCTGACTCACAGGTTTTCTGCTTTAACATGTTTCACATCACAATTGTAAAAATATTCTAGGTAGTAAAAAAATCCTTATATGAAACTCAGCTGTATTTCACAGCTTTAATGGTGGATGACACTCTAGCAGAGCAGGGCTTTTGGAAGGCACTTGTCTGCTGTACAGTGCCACAGCAATTCAGAGGCAGAATTCTGGCCCCACTCTGCCCTTTGATCTTGAGAACAGCAGCACAGGCTGTCCACAGGAAAAGTCTGGAAACCTCCATGAGCAGTGTCAGGCATGCCATGTACAAACTGTAAAATATTATTTAACCACATCTTTTGCTGGGCAGTGACATCCTCACCACCTAAGAATAGCTATAACTTATGGCTATAACCTCCAGAGTGGCAGGTGTGGACAATTCTGCTCCTGCAAAAGAAGAAACACACAACTACCACCATCTTCTGCAAAAATTATCAGTGCCTTTGCAGTTAACTGGTTATACAGAAAAGACTGATTGTGTTTGAAAGGTTTCCTTCAAACAGACTTGTGTAGACAAGCCCCTCCTGAATATGTTCCATCAAGGCACAGAAGGCAACTAGCCCAGTCCATGTGGATCCAGAGACAAATGATATGGGAATGCCACAACCTTGTGGGGACAGAGGAGTCAAGAGAAAAGCAAAACTGCATTGAGGCATCAGAACGTGGCTCTTCCTGAATTTGCTCCTGCAGAATTTTTCCTGGGGCTCAACATGCTATTTTTTAGAGTACAGCCTACCATTAATCTCCCTTTCAGACTTGACATGCAACTGTCAACCCTGCAACCTCCTGGCACTTGGCCAGCTGGCTAGGTTTCCCTTGTCTTTTGAGATGAGCTATTTCAGTATTCCTGGTGTTAGCAGTATATATACCATCTATTTATGGCCTACATTCCTTCCTGTAATCAAACCAGCAAAATCTATCCTGATATCATACCAAAGGTCACTAACTGTAAAAGAAAATAATTCTAAGAGAGAAGGGAAAAACAAGGAAATAAGGAGTGATCCAAATACAATGAAGGACCAATCTTTTTTTTTTTTCCCTCCAGTCTGGCTGACTGGTGACCAGAAGAGCTTCACAAAAATTTATCAAACCAAATAATCACTTTAAAAAGCAAAATAAGCAAGAAAAAAAAAAGAAAAGAAAAGAAAAGAAAAGAAAAACCACCAAAAACCCCACAAAAAACCAAAAAACAAAACCAAAAGCAAACCACAACAAAAAGCATCACAAGACAGTGAATGAATGTATCAATCCTTTAAGATCTAACACTGTTGTTTAACCTTGTTTTTTTAACTGACATTCTCCTTCTATTCTAAGAAGTGCTTAGTACTATCAGGCTTCAGCTACAGGTTCAGTTTAAACCCTGCATCACAACTCTTAAGAAAGTTCAGAATGACTGGAAAAAGAATTAAACAAGGAGATCACTAGGTATAGAGAATTTTGTTCCTAAAATCCCATCTTGACAGACAGATAAAAAGTGACCTGGTTTTAAGAAGCTTTGAATGGAGCACAGAAGCAGCTAGACCAGTGCTCTTTGATAGCACTGTGTTTTGCAAATTGGTCTCTTTCATTAAATCTGTCTTTCAGAGAGGCAAAAATCCACTCAGCTTTGAATACTTAAACTGATGTAGTTCCTATTAGAGTAAATGCGAAGGAAGTTACACTGGAGGGAATCCTACCACTCAAACTGTCAGAGTACCAGGTGATTTTAATGAGGATGTCACTGGATATTGTAACTCATTCACTAGAGTTCCCTTTTCAGCCCCTCTGCTGTCTAGTCTGAGGAGACGGGTATTTTTAAGGTATTTCCCTAGGGTAGGGGATTAGTTTTTTTTAATTCCCTTGAAGAACAGCATGTCTCCTGCTTAGTAGATTATATGCACCATGTGCCAGCTTTGGATCAAAACTGAATTTACAGTAGCAGGGATTTTTTTCTAACTCATCTGCTGGAAAAATATTGACCCCGTAAAACACCAACAACGTACTATACTCCTGTGTATAGAAGATCTACCTTTTAGAAAAGAGGCCAGGACTGTTCTAGTCCTGCAAGACCTGTAGCACAGACCACAGGTGACACAAAAGCTCTGCTCTGCAGACAGACACCACAGATAAAGTAACAACTCAACTTCTGTGCTTATGCTCAAGTAATATTGAGTGCATGGCTGCCGTGGCCAAAGAAAGTCAACATTTGTTCAAGGTTTGTTCCTAGCACATTTCTGATTTACGCGAGAAGCACCCTCAGTCTTATTTCTGTGAATGCCAGAAAACAGAATGACTATATAAAATACACCCCAGAACTTCACATGAATTGTTTAAAAACACCCTCCAAACCCAACTATTCAAAATACAAAATACAGCATGGTTACAGGATGAACAGAGACCTCTATGTTCCCATCTCATGTAGGAGAAAATACTAACAGGGCACTGACCATGGAGAACCTCTAGAAACTACTTTCTCTCTCTGTCCAGGCCCACATACCACCCACTTCCTTAAATCCCAGAATTACTACTGTTAGCTGGCACAGCATTCAGTTTGCCAGTTATTGTTTATGAAAACCAGACATGAAGAACACCATTCTTACCACCTTCCTGCTGTGCCTGGAAATGTTTTAATAACAGCCACACGATGAGCCTGGGCTGGCAGGTGGGCAGGGCATCACTGCCAGTTCTGTGCTGCTGCACTGGACAGGCTGGAGCTGCAGTGTGAACTCGAGCTGAAGGGACTGTAACCCGTAGACCATGGGAGCAGGTACCCCTCAAAGCGTCTGGCCGTGGTTGGCTGTGCCACAGCAGGTACACCTCTGGAGGGATTATGACCCATGCAGGCCACACTGGAGCAGGTGCATTTCGAAGGACTGTGCCTGAGCAAATTTACACTGCAGCAGGTATAGCCCTGAGGAGACTGTGGCTCACAGATATGGCTCCACTTGAAGCAGGTACAGCCCTAAGGTACTGCAGACTATGGGTAAATCCAAGCTGGAGCAGGGGCATATGGGGAGCACTTCACTGCAATGTCAAACCACGAAACATTGGACTCAATCATCTTAAGGGTCTTTACCAATATAAATGATGCTATTGTTTTTAGCTTAAGACATGGCATTGTTTTCCCACACAGGGAACATTAACATATGCAGCAACCCTGGCTAAAATGGAACATAAACACTTTCAAGGCTTCTGTGCAAAAACTCACTTACAGGCCACAGCACCAAGAAGGGAAGGAGGAAGAGATAACAAACAGTTGTGCTGTACTCACTCCTTCCTCACAATGAAATGCCTGTTCTACATGCTCTTACCAACAAAAAGAATAAAAAAACAACAAACAACTCAAGAAACTCTGGAATAAAAAGAAAAAAAAACAGCAAAAAAATAACCCTCTACACTGGAACACACTAACTCTTACCTGCAATTTAATTCTACAATTGTACTTAGAGCAAAAGACAGGGAACTCTGAAACCCATTCAAAAGTTTAATAAGCCTGAGCCCTTTACACTGAAGGAGAATACAGGTGGATACTTACTCAAGTGTCCCCTAATGCCAGTGGAAAGACTGAAACTTTCATCTTTTGCACTGACCCCACAGTCATTCTGGGATGGACCCTAAAGACAAGCCCAATTGCTTGGAACCCGACCAGCCCCTTGCCAGATCTGCTGATTGACCACTATTCAGCACAGGTCACTGTAGCACAAAACTATAGATCTAAGCAACATTTATTTAGTCCAACTTCGTTCTTGCCAGGACCAGAGATAAGAAATAGAGAAAAAACACACAGGTGTGCCCTGTTTTGTGGTCCACCCCTAAAAGATCTGTCCATGATCTTCAACAGGCTAACCCTCCTGCATCCAGGATTGCCATGGCCTGACCCACGGAGAGCGACCCAGCAGGACTGCCAGGCTGGGCTGGCACAAGCACACACTCACCTGCTCAGGGTGCCCACACCTGCGTGGCAGCAGCAGCTCTGGGAGTCCCGCAGGACCACTGGCAGGCACTTCATGTGACACGCAGTCAGGGCTCAGCACAGACTCACCTTCCCACCTCCCCGCGGGTTACCTGCCAACAGG